AAAAAGAGACTTACAATTAAGCTAGTAAATCTGTGTTCTAAGCAGACATATAAGAATTGATGATGGTTCTGGAGTGTTGAAGCTTTTGGAGAGGTTTTTTTTTTTTTTTTTTTTTAGAGCTTCCCTCCTGTCTTATAAAGGGGAATCTTTCACAAGAATCTGTTTCTTGACATTTAGACATCCAGACATTTTCTTTCTAAAATAAATCTGGAAGTTATTTCTTCAAGATTTATGATGTGAAAAAATCAGAGTGCTGCTCTGAATCAAGAGCAGGCTGCCAAAGAAGTAATTCATGAGCCTGCTTTTTTATGAAAGTTATTGTCAGTTTCTTCTTGCTAATGGGCTTCTCTTCTGAGAGCAGGATCTTCTACATGGTCTCCAATGTCGCTGTGAAACACCTCTCAGATGTTTATCTTGAATTTGGCTTCAGATATGGATACATTTCATACATTTCTGTACATCTAGTTCATTCAGCAATCACTGAAGTGTATTAGATTTCAGGAATGTTCAGGGTACTTCACATTCTCCAAAGCAAAGAATGTTTCACTTCTTTCATAAATGTTCAATTTCAATGGCACTTCCAGTTGGAGTCTTTAGTAAGGAGCTTTAGAAACATTAATGAGCTTGGCTGTAAAATGCCCTTAGATAAATATAATTAACCTCATACTGCAGATGGCAAGTTTTATTCACAGAATCTCTCCTTAATTGGAATAGGAAGAGACTCTAGCCTGGCTAACCCCTGTCATTTAACTCTATTTCCTATGAAATCGAGAATTTAAATTGTGGCTTATCTCCAGCTCTTGCTGTATGCTGTCAGAAAGCAGAGAAAGAAGAGGTTAATGGCTGCCTCACTTTTATGAGACAGGAGAAAAAATGGGGCCTGAGGAGGGACATCTGTCTTCTTCCATATGCACTTAAAAGGTTTTTATTAAGGCATGAAAGGTTGCGTTGTTCCGTGCTTTGTCCTTTTGTTGCTTATCTGTTCACTGATGTGCTGCCAATAATTCAATAAACGAATTTCTTAAAATATATCCTATTAATTTATCTTAAACCTCATGTGTGTGGTATGTGGGTAATCAAAAGGCAAGAAAAAGAGAGTTAAGGAATCTGTTTTTCTTTTCCCCCTTAAATCCAGAAACTGTATCTAGTGAGAGAGGCAGCGATGCTTAAGGGTCAGATTTGGGAAGCGTCCTCGCCAGGCATGCGGTATTTACTCTTCATCACACCCCCCGCCTCAAGAATCAAGTAAACAGCTCCAGAAGAATAGTGTTTGCTAACAATCAAAACATGATTTTCAACTATGTCTTTTGAAGTAGGATAGAGAAAAAGAAATTTTCTGAGATTTAAAAAATGTTACTATTTTATTTTAGTCACATCTGTATATGCATGAACTTCTGCAAAGCGTCAGAGGAGAAAGGGATTTTTTGATACTACAGCTGGAGGACAAAAGAAGTGAGATGGAGAGATATTTCACAAGCCCGCTCTTCAGTTTGGTACAACAGTTTAAATTACTTCCATACTCCCTGGCATATGAAGTAAAAGAAAGAAATGTAGTAGAATTAGTTGATAGTCTCTGGATACTTGGGTATGAATGATTTGAACTTATTTCTGTCCACTGTCTTGTGTATATATATTGAATTCTTGGAAAATATGAAGATTTTACAGACGTTGTGTATGTCTAGGTTTCAGGTGTAGTGCTTAGTCTGTGTATTGACCCAGAGGTTGAAACTCCTGCAGTATAAGCGGTGCTGTAATGAGCATTGGATGTCAAAAAGGCTCCCATCCTGGCCAAGGTTTGGCATCACACTTTGTGTTTCATCTCCACTAGCTGAGTTTCCAAAGGGACAATTCCTTAATAAGATGTCATAGTCTGTTCTCCTGTACTTGTCTTCATATAAGTAAAAGATAGCAAGATGGTAACTTGAGAAGCTTTTTCAAGTAAAACCACTGTTCCATTTGAGGCTGGGTATTACTGTTTCACTAGATACTTTCGGGTGTTTTGACTTGTATAGAAGAGAGTAGTGTTGCACACTTCCTAGATGAGAAACAGTAAAATTTTTGAAATTTAGGCAAATATTTCAACTTGCATCACTTCTGGAGACCATTGAAAATTCAGCTTTGGCAGGCAAAGGAAGCTGGAAACCATTCCTAGTTTAGGAGATCCTGGACTGTAGCTTACTCAAATTCTGTTGTCTTAATTTATCTACACCTTGTTTTAAGCAAAATAAAATACAGTTCCATTTTGGTATCTTTTAGTATATACGTTTGGGAGTTTAATTCTGTGAAAGCTCACACTGAGAAGTAGAGTTTTGCCCAGAAAGTATGTCACTGTGGGTAAGAAAGTCACACAATAGTGCCAGACCCTCAGGACCTAAGAAGTATTTAAGACCAATTTGCCCCATTGTGAGTGTCCATCTAGTGCAGTTCTGGGAGGGCTCTCTATCCATGGTTGTTTACACTGGAATGCTGTTTTTCATGATTGATGCATCACTGTCAACATCAACAATAGCTTTCTGCACCAAAGCAAGTTGTGCAAATGAAAAAGAGGGAGAGCTCCAAGGAATTGCTGCCTTTCTAATAGACTCTTGTGGTCAGTACCATACAGATGTTTCATAGCCTGCAGTTTGAGCAACTTTGCCATCCTTGTATTTAGACTATTGTGTGATAAAAAATAGTAATACTACTAAAAATAGTAGTACTACTGACAGATCATAGAAACATCCCCACACGTGTTGAGAAATATATTATTTCTCAAATGAGTATTATTCATACATTTTCTGTCCTACAGGTTGCATGGTATCCACAAATGCAGAATCTGTAAAGATATTTATTTCCTGTTTCTTGTTCAGTTCTTTTGCATTTTTCAATATAAGAAAGTATGGCCTAAGTACAGTCTATTTTTAAGATACTCAACCCCATTTATTAAAAGGCATAAGAGTATGTTTTCCTGGATAATATGTATTCCTGTTTGAGTGCATAGGTGAGAAGGAATGGTCTATGTATGTATTTTTCTAAAATAATCTCATGTCTCCTAGGTAAGACAGTATTTGATTTTGGACTGTGTTAATGCATCTGATCAGCTTTTGAAGAAACTTGAGTATAGTAGTCTTCAGGAAATGTTCACACTCAGTTAGTGGCTCTTTATTTTTCATGTTTGTTCTGTGGTATTCTTGGTAATAGCATTTGTGGATATGAGTTTGGATCATCTAAAATTCTCCAAAGCTATTTAATTATTCCTTTTATGACCATGGCATGGTATGTCTTGGATATCTCAAGTCCTTTCCCGTTATACAGTTGGCAAAAGTACCTCTTCCAAGCTTTGCCATCTTGCACTTTCAGGGAATCTGCTGACAGCAATAGAAATATGCTGCAGTGGCTGTGGAAATTTATATTTGGCAATAGACGAGGAAGTTATGATTGCAGTTGAGACTGTCTATGACTGAACTATGACTGCAATTGAGATAAGACACCTCGTTAGCTTAATTGCTATCAGGTTCCTTTGGAGTGAGTGTCACTTCCTGTTAACGCTCAGCACTGTCTGAATTGAATAATGATCACAGAATGATAGAAGGCATCAGGTTGGAAGGGACCTTTAAACGTTTTCTAATTCCAGTGCCTCTGCCATGGCCCATATAGTCATAGAATTGCTCTAGTTGGAAAAAACCTTAAAGATCATCGAGTCCAACCATGGCCATCCCTAGTTAATTCCCTGCAAATACAAATAATTGAATTAACAAAAATTATGCAAGCTTTGGCAATTCATTACTTAGTGAATTCAAGTGTATTGGATGCCTCAAGTGGACTTACATAGGTTAGTATAGCATTGAAGAGTCCGGTTACCTGTGTGCTAGAAATAAGGGGAGGTATTGGCAGGTAGCCTAAATTCCTGAGTTTTGCCGGTAGTACGAGATGATTTTAAGTCTTGGTAGCTTCTGAGAGCACTGCTCAATCATTATAGTGAACCTGTGAATCAGAAAGGGGCAGTGGGAAAGAAGCGTGATTAGGGCACTTTTAGCAATTTTACTGGTTCCTCATAAAATACAGTATCTAGTGTAGTACTCCATGAGACATCACAGTTAATTGACCTTAAATATGTAAAATATGGATGAACTTTTAGACTATCTTCTGGCTGTAGTAAAATGGATACCAGCTAAACTAAAGCAAGCTTAACTGGAAAATGAGTTAACTACAGGGTGATCTCAAATAATTTTCTTGATGTGCCTCACAGAGATATCTTCTTGTTATTGTGGTGATATCACCTCCTTATTGTGGTGATAAAGATAGGCACAAGAAGTGAAATAGAATGCAGGAGACTGGTTCTAGCAAACTCTTTGCAGGTAGAAGGAAGCTATATGCCTTGGAGTATTGCTAGCATTATCTGTTTTTCCCAGACAGAGAAAGGCTGAGATGAGTTTTTGAACAGAGACAAAATGCTGACTGGCCATCAGAAGTATGAAATCGTGGGTTGTTTAAAACCTTTCAGGGAAGCCAATGAAAATGAATGGTAATGATAAATAATCTAGGTTCCCAAGGGACTCCTTCCTGTGCTATGTTGGCTTTCCTGAAGAAAGGTCAACAAAAATAGTTATGTGCTAGCACTGTTATTTTGCAAAGGCAAATAAATTTGTTTTTTCTATTTCCTGAAGTAAAATATAAATATCTTACACATTTCAAGGCTCTTTTGATTACCTTATCGTGAAACCCAAAAAAGATTATGGTTTACTCTTTCCGTATAGATGGAAATCCATTGACATTATTGACATTTGTAATGATGGAATTAATTTATCCCATTAAAATTAATGCAAACAAGGTTAGGTCTGAGACAAATTAATGTAGATTAGCATTACAGATGCAATAAACTTGTTCACAGAGATGCAGAGATTTAGTGAATGAAATTCCTCTCCCACTTCATCTGCAACCCAGAGGCACTTCTGGATGAGGAGGGGGTCAGCTAGTGAGCTTTAGCTGATTACACTCACTGCTTTTTTTTCTGTCTTCAGATATCTCAGCTTATGACAGAGACTAGTCGAGAGGGCCTGACTGAAGCAGCATTGAACCGCTACAATGCAGATAAACCCTCCTTGTACAGCTTCCCTGCTTCCCAGAGCACATATGTTGCTGCTGATGTATCCACAGGCACCTCGGTGGCAGCATCTTTTTTTGCCAGGTAAGAAAAACCTCTCAGATTTTACTTCTCTGGAAACATGATTTATTTCAAAGAAAATTCTGTAGTGAAGACATGGGGTTGACTAACTACAGCACGTGTCAAGAGATGACAACTCTATCACAATCTTGCTGAATTACCATGAAAATACTTAATGCACTTGTGTGCATTTGTCTCTAAGATGGGGATGATGGTTCTACCCTTTTCTTTAAAATAACACTTAAACTCTTGATTTGGGTAAAAATGTGATTGCATTTGCAGAACGATACCAGATTTAGTATGATTTTTTTTGGTGGGGATTCTCTGATAGAGAAGGGCGCATCAGAGTTAGTTTTTGAGACAGGCAATAAATTATATTGCTGTCTGGAGGGGGATAGTTCTCTTTGGTAGACAGTCTTCTGATTTCTGTAATGAATTTTATTTCCGTCTAGGCAAATTATCATGACTTATACCTACAGATGGATCATTTAATATTTTTGTTTCAGTTTCTGTTTCTGCCATGCTTTTGAATTGACCTGACAGACTAAAACTCAGCCTCAGAATACCCTTTCTGTTGAGTACTGAGTCAGTGTTTCCAATTGAGGAATATTATGGTTATCTCTATTAATTTGTTGGTAAAATAATTTGTTAAATAGGCATAACAGGTGATAAGTGAAAAATTCACTTTCAACAGTGGAAATATTTTTTTTCTGCTCAGAAATATGCTTTCTAAAGAGCAATCTTTTCAGCCCACTTGAATTCTGATGTAACTGATGAAGTTGAAATAATCTTTGTCTTCTAATACTCTTCAATAATTAAAAGATTGACTTGGGAAGAGTTGTGGAAATAATGAAATAACAAGAAAATAAACTATTTTCAAATAACGAATTTCAAAACACAGTGAATTTATGAGTAACTGCCCCAGGCATATTCAAGTTAGCCTCTTTCCCTTTACAAGGCTAACTATTAGTAATTTCACACAATTCTATTTCATTATCAAGCTAAATGGAAAAATTACAAAGTTGCTGAATTTTGAAGATTGTAAGTCTGGAATGAAGGTATTCCTCTTCTGTTTTTTTTCTCATGAGAGGACTGTACACATTTAACCAGCATGTAAGAGGGGGGTTAAGAGATGAATTTTCAGAGGAGCCAGTGAATGTTGTTCGGGACAGCTCTGATGGTTTTCTGTACAGGTGTGATGCTGCAGTAGCAAATATGAATGAGGACAGTAGTCATGATTTGCTATCATTTTCTATTCAACTTCAGGCAGTTTAAATAAAAAGTGTTGAATGTAATGTCTAGCTCACATGGTAATATCTAACTTGAGTGCAGTGTGGGATAAGTGCAAATATTAGCATGAATTGGTTATGAAGATTGCTTAACTCATTTGCTCTTCATTGTTGCATTGTTTATGCTGATAGAATTCATTTTCTCTAAATATACACAGCCGGAATGCAGGAAACTAAATGTACTCAAAATCCATCATGAGAATCCCATCATTTTCAATACTCTTAGTTTCTAGCTGATGATGTGAATTCTTGGCTATCATTGTCTCAGAAGTGAGATCCCACATTTAGGCTGTTTATTTTTTAACTGTACCTGGCAAGATGGAAGGGACTAATTTAGTTTGGATTATTATATTTGATTAGTATCATTTATATAAGTCTGTTTAGCTCTGGACTTCATATTATTTCATCTGCTGATAGTTCAAGAAGAAAATCTAAAGAAAATCTTTAGTGTATAACATTTTAACAAGAAAGTCCACAAATTGCTTTCAAAATGTGACCCCTCCTGTTAATTTTTCTTTTGTATCTCATGTGCCTTGCATTTTGGTGAAGTTTTGGTAGAGAGGAGAAGAATCTGCATGTTATATGTGTTATAAAATATGAAGTAGAAGGCACTGATTAGGAGACTCATTACAATGGTGCTGTGTTATAATAAAAAAAGTCATTCATTCCGGATTATGAATCCTAAGCTTTTTTGGATGTGCCAAGTGGAGTAGTGACTTCCTGTTTGTGTGCATGTTGTATGTGACGTTATGGTCAATAAGTAAGAATTGATTACATACAAAAGTTTGCTAATTTGTAGTTGAGGCTGGAAGTGGAAAAATGGAAAATATTCTTTTAGAATTTGAATCATATAATACAGCATTTCATTCTGGTCCTTAACAGCAAAGTGAACTTCAAATGAGCCTCAGATATAAGTCATCCATCATCTCGGGGAAAAAAAAAACCAATTAACTAAAATGTTATAGTATGAAGGAAATGCCAAGGCATTCATGAGAACTTCTCGTTGTAATTACTTGAGAAACATCAGGAGTGAAATAGACTGAGAACTAGGAGCTTACTGTTTTTCTGTTCTTGGGTACTGCTGATCCAATAGTGCTACACGCTGGCTAGTCTACAGCTGGCAATGAGCTTTGGAAAATTTCTGAAGGCCTTGGGAGACTTCTCATTTATCTCAATACTTAATTGCCATGTATCATGATTGATATCTAACAGATTGCCCAACCATTTAAAAAGATGGCAACTTCTGTGAATTGTCATTTGTTGGGATATTGCTGCAAAATAATCTATATATACACACACGCTTATACTGTGCCATGGGAATTCTATGTTTTAACGGAACAGTGAGAACTGTCCAAAGTACTGTGCTGGCAGGTTTATGAATATTAGATGATACTGATATGAATAATTAACTTCTAATGGTGATTTGGGTGCAGATACTGAATCCAATCAATGGTCCTTTCAATGACAAGCGACAAATATACCTTCCTTTTAAGGGCTGTAGTTTATTTTAGTCTCAATTTAGTATTGTCTTCTAATAAGTACTATATTTGTGGTAAAGATTAATTTAATGAGTGTGGTATATGTTAAGATTATTTACAATAAAAGAATAATTTAGGATATAGAGCATTTTGCTTCCATTTTGAATCTTTGTTGTAAGAAGCACTGCATCTTTGAACAATTGCAGCTTGAAGTAAAGTAGCCTTGTATCTTCTGAGCAAATTGTAAGAGTGTGTCACCACCTGCTAAGGAAGAAGTGTGTTCTATTGTTAATGTTACTTTAGAAAGGACATTCTATTGCTGGTCTCTGTGGAGATCTAGCAGGACAAGGAGTTTTGTACGAAATCTTGCTCTTATCTTTGATAGTTTCTGCATGGGGAAAACTTCTGGGACAAGGACTTCAGCTTTGACCTGGCTATCCTGTAAATAAACTTGCCTTTCTGAATTAAACTTTTCTGTTGATCTAACCTGTGGAGTATCTCAAAGCATGGTAACACAAAGCAGGACCTAGAAGTCGTGTACATGATGCTACTCTTGTAAATGCCCCAAGGCATGTACGTGTTTTTTAAATCCGGTACAGAAGTATCTGGAATTTTGAATTATGTCTTATTTTGAGAAGGAATAAGAATATAAATCTTTAGCTTTATATCTAGCTGACATGTAGCTGCTCAGCATGAGATAATCTACACTGAGATGACCCTCCATTCCTGAAAGAATGCTGGTGACCCTTTTCACACTCAATTCCCATCACTGTTAGTTTGGCAGCTGGGGGAGGTGAGGCAGTGCTGTATTAGAAAGGGATATTGTGAGTGTTGCGTTCAAAATGCTGCTAATTGCTTCATGAATTTCCTTTCCATTCATGCAAATGCTTTTAAAATTAATTAATTGATTTATTACATTCTTTGACCTAGCACTCCAGACACCCCAAAACATTGAGACTCATGCATACTGGAATTTTCACGCATGTGATAAGTTATCAGCTGGTCACATACCTTTTGATTTTCACTATATTTCTCTTATAGATGCAGTATTACAAGGCTTCTGTTGAAGTCTGAACGATCTTTCTTCCTATGGGGAAAAAAAAGCCTTTGAAGCCTGAAGGCTCTGAATTGAGGAACATCAGGGTTTACTCTTTTCATTGAAGGTTAGGAAGTGCTTTAAACAAATTCTTCCATTTGAAGTCCAGGCTTGAGTTTTTCAGAGTCTAGTAAATATTCACAGAAATGACAGCATGGGCTTATATATGTGCAGCAAAATGTATGTAAGAAACAGAGACAGTGGCTATGCTGCTTTTCTGTATCTTTTCTGTAGAAAGCTCTGATAAGATTTTGAATATTTTAGAATGGTGTGACTGCAGATAACCCCAAAGAGTGGTGGACACAGCTGCTTCTTCAAGCCATGCAGCAAGCTAGGCAGTAATTCACTGGCTTAAACACTGCTTGAGAAGTTTTAGAGGTCAGATAGTGCTGCCCTCAATCTTCTTGAGAGAGTACTATTTTCTGAGACTTATGTGAAAAGTTATTTTGGTTTCTTGCTGTTTAGACTCTTTCATTAACACAACAAGCAGGGTAAATGATTAAATTATGGTCACACTCTCAGATATTTTTAAGGAGTATGTATTTGTCATGGTTTTAATAAATCTGATCAGAATTTTTATTCTTTTCTCTTATCCTCATAACATACTTGATAATAAATGAGTAAAGAGTATGTTGTTAAGGTTAAAGGTCCATGAGCTGTCAGCAGGAATTCTGGCAACAATTTTTAAAACATCAGTAAATAATTTTTACAAATATTGCTGCCTTTGAAGACTGTATTGGGCCTGACTAGTCAGGAAAATTTCAGTGTCAGTGATCTCAGTCAACCTGAAAGACCATGAAAAAATATTTTAAATAGGCATCTAAGTTAGGGCGTACCATTTTGGGGGCTGGTTTTTCACATTTACTTGGTATTTATTAGTAATGTAGGACATCTATGTTTGTAAGCACTACTTTTCTGTGTTCCCCACTGGTGTAAGAGCCTTAACACATGCTGTTTCTTCCTTTTATTGGTGTTATTTCATGTGTATTAAGTAACTGTCAATCAGAAGGGAAACTTGACTCCTCCAAAGCCAAAGAAAGCTAGTAGTTGGGGCCTAAAGAATACACTGCTTCTTTTTCTCTGACTTGATGTAAACAAAAATGCCCCAGCAGAGAAGACTGTGCTACCTGCAACAGTAGCCTAGTAGTTGAATCAGTGATC